AGAATTCCGAAATTCATGAGAGAGAGAGAGAGGGAGAAAGAGAGAGAATATTAAAAAAAACATATAAATGTAAATACCTATATAGACACATACGCACACCAGCGCACACGAACACACACACACACACACACACACACACACACACACACACACACACACACACACACACACACACACACAACAACAACAACAACAACAACAACAACAACAGTAACAACAGCACCAGCCTCCCTCTCCCTGCTACTCACCCTCGCCAGGAGAACATAAACCTCCTGCTGAGCGATTCTGCTGCCTATGCACTTCCTCGGCCCCACGGAGAAAGGGATGGAAGCGAACTGATTCTTCACGCCCACGCCCGCGCCCACGCCCACGCCCACGCCCGCGCTCTGACCGGATCCCTCCTCTCCTCTGTTCCCGCGAAGCCACCGCTCGGGCGTGAACTGATCCGGGTTCGGGAAAGCCTCTTCGTTTTGTCCGGATTCGAACTGGCTGGCGAAGATGTACGTCTGAGGGAGAGAGAGAGAGAGAGAGAGAGAGAGAGAGAGAGAGAGAGAGAGAGAGAGAGAGAGAGAGAGAGAGAGAGAGAGAGAGAGAATGAGGGAGAGGGATAGAGAGAGAGAGAGAGAGAGAGAGAGAGAGAGAGAGAGAGAGAGAGAGAGAGAGAGAGAGAGAGAGAGAGAGAGAATGAGGGAGAGGGATAGAGAGAGAGAGAGAGAGAGAGAGAGAGAGAGAGAGAGAGAGAGAGAGAGAGAGAGAGAGAGAGAGAGAGAGAGAGAGAGAGAGAATGAGGGAGGGGGAGGGGGAAAGGGAGAGGGGGAGGGGGAAGGGGAGGGGGTGGGAGAGGGAGAAAGAGGAGAGAGAGGAAGAGGGAGAGGGAGAGGGAGGGAGAGGGGGGAGGAAAGGGAGGGAGAGGGGGAGGGGGATGGAGAGAGAGAGGGAGAGGAAAAGGGAAAGAGAGAAGGAGAGGGAGAGAAAAAGGGAAGGGGAGAGAGAAAGAGAAAGGGAAAGGGAAAGGGCGAGGGAGGGAAAGGGAAAGGGAGAGGGAGAGGGAGAAAGAAAAGGGAGGGAGAGGGAGATTGAGATTATTATTAGTAGTAGTAGTAGTAGTATTATAACATTCATTAATAATTATCATAATTAATATTATCATCATCATCATCATCATCATCATCACCATCATCATCATAATCATCAATATTATTATCATTATCATATTATTATCATCACTATTACCGCTATTATCATTATCCGTATAATAACAATAATAATAATGATAATAATGTTAATAATAATAATGATGACATGAATAATGATAACATGAATAACAATAATAATAACAATAATAATGATAGCAATAATGGTAACAATAATAATAATAATAATAATAATAATAATAATAATAATAATAATAATAATAATAATAAAAAGGATTACCATCATCATCATAATAATAAATAATAATAATAATTACAATAATAATTATAAAAATAATAATATTCATAAAACCAATAATAATAAAAACAATCATTATTATCATAACAATGAACCATAATTAACTACAAACTAAGAGAAACGTCAGTAACATTAATAATGCACTTCTCTATCAATAATCAATCACTGATTATAAATTATTCAAGAAATTACTTACTCCTTTGGGCACGTGATAGCCATCAAGAACAAGATCTTTGTGCAATTCTCTTGCAACGAAGCCTGCAACTGCAAAGACTCTGGAATAGAGGACCGTTTTTTTCATGAATATTTGAGGACAAATTTTATGGTCTGATATCACAAATCAATTTTGTTTAAATAATCATGTATGCATAAACGTACACATGCGCATATAAACACACACTCACAATCACACACACAATCACACACACACACACACACACACACACACACACACACACACACACACACACACACACACACACACACAATCACTCACACAATCACACACACACACACACACACACTCACACTCACAATCACACACACAATCATAATCACACACACACACACACACACACACACACACACACACACACACACACACACACACACACACACACACACACACACACACACACACACACACACAAACTCACCTAAGGGTCTCCCGCACACACGCCTTCGTATAGGAGAGACGGGCCAGCTGCTGAGGCGTAACAGGTGCCGTGTGGTCTCTCCCTAACACTTCGTCTAGTTCCTCTTGTAACTTCGCCTGGGCGTGTGGGTGTCGAGCCAGGTTGTAGAGTGTGAAGATGAATGTCATGGAAGTCTAGAGGGAAATGAAGTAATTAATTTTGCGGTATGGTTATGGTTGGTGGTGATTGTGTATGTTGTGCGGCCAAGTGGATTAGGTGGTTAGAACAGATCCACATGCACACATACATACATACATACATATATATATATATATTTTTTTTTTTCAACAGCCATTCATTCCACTGCAGGACATAGGTCTCTCTAAATTCAGTATTGAGAGGTTATATGGCGGTGTCACCCTTGCCTGATTGAATGCCCTTCCTAATCAACCGCGGTTCGGCGCGTTAACACTTGTGCCACGGCGGTGACTTCCCCTACGACACCTGCGTTTGACTTTTTTTTTTTTTTTTTTTACAACTGCCGCGACGGGGAATTGAACCCGGGACCACGAGGGTCGGAGTCCAGTGCTCTAACCACTGAGCTATAGCGGCAGTATATACATACATATATATATGCATATATATATGTATATGTGTATGTATCTGTATATGAGCGCGCGCGCGCGCGCGCGTGTGTGTGTGTGTGTGTGTGTGTGTGTGTGTGTGTGTGTGTGTGTGTGTGTGTGTGTGTGTGTGTGTGTGTGTGTGTGTGTGTGCGCGTGTGTGCGCGTGTGATATATATATATATATATATTTATATAAAAAAACAGAGACAATCATACATACAGGCACAAAATAATACACACAAAAACTAACAGACTATATCTGCCACAGCTAAAAATATATATCAACAAATAAATAAATAAGTAAATAAATAATACCAATAATAAATAAATAAAAGACATGAACGCCCACAGCACAAAGATAATACAATATAACACAGCCAACGAAAACTCCGACCCACCGTATCAGTCGCAGCCAAGAAAAAGTCGATGATGTGAGTGACGACGTCTTCGAACGACAGACCCGGAGTTCCGATCAGCGATTCGACCAGATTGAGCTCGCCTTCCGAATCACCCCGAGTCACGAGGGTCTCCTGCGCGTGTTGCACCGCCTCGATCGCCAGTCTGCGTGTTGGAGGAGGAAGGATGGAAGGGAGGGGATGATATAGAGAAGGGTAATGATGAGAGAGGAAGGGAGGGAGGGAGGGAGGGAGGGGAGGGGGGAAAGGAGAGGAAGGGGTGGGGGGAAAGGAGAGGAAGGGGTGGGGGGGAAAGGAGAGGGAGGGAGGGAGAAGGAGAGGGAGGGAGAGGGAGATAGAGAGAGAGAGAGAACAAATATAATCAAGCTGATGACTAATCCAAGCTCCTATATTCACAAAAAGAAAATTCACACATAAAAAACGAAAAGAGACACGCACATGTCCCCCTATTACCAGCAGCACCCTAACCCAAGAACCATTTCCTGAACTCACCCTAACATTATATCATGCGACGCCTTGAGATTCCGGTACGAAGGCGTTGGTATAAATTTCCACCAATGGACGCCATATTCGCAGTCGGTCACGGCCTCAAACATCTTACTCGACGTTTCGATAATCTTAAGACCTTCTGGCCGGCCCTCGAGGCATCCCATTCGCCGGTTGAGAGTCACCAAACACACAGCTAATTCGAAAAATATATATTAATAGATATTCTAGAGTAAAACTTGTTAGAATATCTTGTGTTTGTTTATGGCGTGGCTTCGTAGAAACACTGACATCTAATATGCTCTTGCTTTAGGATAAGGTCAGATGAAGATTTTACTAAAGAGTTCTCGGAAGGCAAGTAAACCTACACTCAAGCGACCATTTGAAAAGCTCTTGGACAAAATTTTCCGGAAGTTCATTTTCGCCGTCGCGTAGTTTGGCAATTCTGAAAAGGGAAATTTGGAAATTGAATTCTCGTTTTTTTTCATAAATACTGTTGTTGTTATAATCATTGTTCTTTCAATATTTTTGTTCTTTATTAGTGCAAAGTTGGCGAGGAAAAGACCCACATGTCACTAAGAACGTAAACTCAAGTCATCATCAGCTCACACGTTTTAAGTTACATGGTGACGTCATCACTAACCTTCACAGATGCGAGAATCAGAACTTATACCAAAATACCTATAAGACTTTCAATATACAGACACAGTAAAACATGACCATGAAAAAATATTTTCCGTTCCTAATAGCATTCTTTTTCTATCCCTTAACCGTACAAAAAGCCAATAAAAACACCACACCTTTCAACAAACTCCTTCGCCACAAGATCCATCTGCGGGAGGTACTGAACCACGATCTTCGGCCTCATGGAGTAGGTCTGGATGAGTCGCCGGACGCGCCACCACTCCTCGCCATGCCTGGGGAAGGGGGGGTCAGGCAGGTGATATTAGCTGGAAGTGTTTTTATTGTTGTGAATGGATAACAGTAATTTCGGAAGGTTTCGATATTTGATTCATTGAATAAATTGCCTAGATTATATATATATATACATATATACACATGTGTGCGTGTATGTATTTTATAGAGTTATGGAGGTAAATCTATAACATCTATTAGATATAATATTTTTGTGATGACATTAGCACAAGAACGGGACACAAAAAGATATACGTTTCACAAATTACGGCCGAAAACATTCAACAGAATCAGACATAAATAACCGACATATGTTTATTAAAATAGAAGTAGTTGGAAGAGAAGTAAGAGTAATAGACAACGTACATTGGAAACAAGAAACAACAGTAAAAATAAAAGATTACACATCAGGTTGGCAGAAAATGAGAAAAAAGAATAAAGCATGGGTGTGAAATGTCACTTGATTTATT